CCAGTTAACCCGTGAGACTCCACCAGGGCAATGGGTGGACTTTCACCAGACAAGCACCGGCTTCCTGTACCATGGCAGCATAGGCAGGACAACCTTTCCCTCAGTAAAAGCTTGTCTTAGTTTACATTTCTGGAGCCCCTTCACTCAAGGTTAACCTGTGACAGAACAATGTTGTAGAGGGTGGGTGCGTGCTACAAGGGTTGAGGAGTGAGTGACCACGATAGAGGGCACTTAGGGGTCATAGGGCTACGGGGGAGGGACGAGGAAGAGAATGGGCGATTGATAAGAGGTGAGCTTTACAGTAACCGGTTAAATACATTCAAATTTTAGCAAAGTGGTCTTCATAAAAGATGAACAAATTACATTATTAAACTGCAGGCTTATATTATTTTAGCTATGTTTCATGAAGGCTGGTTGGCCAAAAAGTTGAGATTCCTCTTTTAGTGACACTATTAAGCAAAAAAAGCCTTATTGGTTCATAGAAAATGTATACAATTTGAAAGAATAAGTTAACTAATGCAGAAATGTGAATTTATTTTTCGTGCCCTATTTCACAATGTGAACACAGGAGTTAAAATGTATGTGATATATATTTGTAGCTTCCAGATGCAAATAGTTTAAATATTACAGATATGCTCTGGGATATTCAACCATGAGAGGAGGGCACTGGGTTATCACTCCAGAGTGGGCCGCTGGTCACCGCGAATGCCATCGGCGTGAGATGTCTACACCAGTGGTTCTTATACCCTTGACTGCAGCCTTGCACCCCTTTGGGTCTCAGTCGTCAAACCATGTATCATGTCAATACATTCAGAGGGTTTGATGAAACAAAGTAGTTGTACTTACGAGCCCGTGCTTAATTTGTGTTGCGATGATTTACCTTCTAAAAAAGAATCTGGCCAAGTCTGGCACCCCCAGAAAGGGCATCTCTCACCCCAGGCTAGGCACCGCTGGTCTAAACCAAGTGCAGCACAGCACGACTCCCGTTATCAACGAATAATCTTAATGATAGAAAAATACATCTTCACACCGGTTACTTAAATACGAGTTCTAATATACCAAATTGTGTTTTTGCAAATGGTGTATAAATGTACAGTATGATATACTTTGGGTCTTTCGGTAAAGTCACGTAGATAGGTTCAAAGAAAATAACAAAAAACTACGACGTTTCGATCGCAACACAAGCAGTCATTAGGAAAAATGATGACGTCCGCTTGTGTTGCGATCGAAACGTCGTAGTTTGTATTATTTTCTTTGAACCTATCTACGTGACTTTACCGAAAGACCCACAGAATATGAATTCCTGCAGTCACGAAAGCTTTAAGTCAAGATTTACAGTATGATAGGTACAGTGTTTTATATCAACCAGTTCACACTGACATGTTCAGCCACGTTCCCCACGGTTCACTGCTTTAATAACTAAATCAGTGAAGTTACAGTGTTTAGTCGATGTTAACTTTGTGAGACATCTCCGAACATTATATGAATTGCCATCTATAATCCTTCTCATTGCGGTTAGTCGATGTTATGATCTGTACGATTATTCACAGCATCACCAGTTCACATGACTCATCGCTTTTCCAAATGGATGGACAATGCCTTGTCCTTGTCGTCGTCTGCATGACTGTCATCAAGATGATTTCATTACGACAACAACCTTTGCGTCACATATGTAACCGCACGAACAATAACCCATTATCGCTCAATATAAAGAGTAATTTTAAACCTTAATCCCTTTCATTCCGTTGGCCGTGTGCCTGCTCTCGCCTGCTATTAAAGCAAAGGACACCGCACGGAAAGAGACATTAAACGCCGGTGCCTGCGAACTGGGTGTCTTGTCAACGAGCCGTCACCACACCGTGAATTCCGCCACAACCGATACCGACATTTCCGTGATGGTACCGTGGGTCTTTGTTCAGGTCCGTGATGGTAACATGGGGCTTTGTTCAGGTCCGTGATGGTAACATGGGGCTTTGTTCAGGTCCGTGATAGTAACATGGGGCTTTGTTCAGGTCCGTGATAGTAACATGGGGCTTTGTTCAGGTCCGTGATAGTAACATGGGGCTTTGTTCAGGTCCATGATAGTAACATGGGGCTTGGTTCAGGTCCGTGATAGTAACATGGGGCTTTGTTCAGGTCCGTGATAGTAACATGGGGCTTTGTTCAGGTCCGTGATAGTAACATGGGGCTTTGTTCAGGTCCGTGATGGTAACATGGGGCTTTGTTCAGGTCCATGATAGTAACATGGGGCTTTGTTCAGTCCATGATAGTAACATGGGGCTTTGTTCAGGTCCGTGATAGTAACATGGGGCTTTGTTCAGGTCCGTGATAGTAACATGGGGCTTTGTTCAGGTCCGTGATAGTACCGCGGGGCTTTGTTCAGGTCCGAGCTGCGGCTACACTTTAACGAGCATAGGAAGCGATCACCTCCACTGATGGTCTTAAACAAGTTTTTTGAAATTCCACACTCCTATGACGAGGAGTCCTACGGACGATCGCCGTCTACGTCCCCACAAGGGGATGAAGGGCTCAGCCGATCCCCGACCGGGGCGTGAACTCGCAACCTGCGGACTGCAAGGTGAGCGTTCCGCCACCCGGCCACCTTTGCTCAAACACGTTCGCGCGAACGTTCACACCACTGCTGCATCAAGCGTGGGCACGGCGACCTAACGGCAGCAACAAGTCGCCTTGTATGAGCACTTATGCAACATTTTAGCGATATTCAACATGTACGCCGCACAATTAGCAGTGCAGTTATTTACAAAAAAAATATTCCCGTGGATTGTTTAAAGGAGACTCGACACGAGGCTTGGAAAAAAGCTGCCCGTGAATTGATCGCCCGATGTAACATTTATCCAGCAGTAAGAGAGATTTGGGGTCATTGTTCCACCAATGATGACCGTCATCACTGGCGGTCTGTACGAGGCAGAGCCCCGCAAATCTGCGGTCAAAACGAAGCGTCTCCACACGCAGGGCACTCGCATCAGACTCAAAATTGTCAGCCTCAGAAGAGCATTCCTCCCTGGTTGAGAAAAAAATCATCGATTGTCTACAATGCATCGAAATAAACGGTCAGATTTTAAACGGCTGGGCATTGGTAATACCATGGCCCTTGGGCTGATTAAACGTCAACCTTGGAAGTGTGAAGCAACTGTAGTCCAAGTGAAATTCCCTTCATATCCAGGATTTCAACGGTTTTCAGAAATGATGTAAATAGCATCGCACACGCATAAATGTCCGACGTCTTAAATAAGGCCGTTTTGTCTTTAATACAGAATCGTTCTCGCCGCAGTGCGAGTGAATTTCTTGATTTTACAGCGACGTCTCTCGTTCCCAGTGTCTCGCATTCAAGTCCGCACCCCATCGATCCGTCACGGCTCCCCAACACATCGACAGAGCCCCGTGCCCCGGCACGTGGAGTTGCGAGCGCGCACGCAATGACCCGTCCTGCCGCCAGACCTGTTCACCGCATGCACTGGCAGCATCTTGGACGAACAAACTTGAGATCTTCTCCGTACACTTGCTATGGCATTCAAAGTGAGCTGGTCTTGCGGATCCATGGCCAATTTAGTTTTGTTTTGTAGCAGCCCACGTCGCCACTTCCATTTGAGACGTTTGTTCTCTGCAGTTCACAACGTCGGTGTTCTCGCAATGGGTCGTAAGATGTTTCGGATACACATGAATGACCGGTACATTGCACTTGTCAGCAATGTACAGGCGACTAATAGCTTGCCTGCTCCACGATGCTTACTTTGCAATGGTTTATACGAGTAACTCGATACAGTACGTGTATAATAATACGGTATGCGTACATTGTACAGCGTGTCCATTAAATTATCATCCTTTATTAAAGAATTGAGCCAGGTGGCTCAGCCTTCGAGCGAGTGGCTCCCAACCAGAGTTTCATTTCCTGGTTGGGAGTCGACTCAGTCCATCATTCCGACGGGGGCGACGACGCGACTACCACTTTGTGGAGAAGTCAACCGTGGTTTACCGAGAGATACACTCGCACCAGCCATAGGAATGTAGAATTTCCACCACTGCCTCTGGGCTGTAAACTGGAGGTGAGCATCAACTCATTTGAGCAGGAAGTCACCGTGACCCGACTTTAAATCAGGGAACATTTGACCGTCGGCAGTGTATTCATATTCTTGGTTCTTTCGGTAAAGTCACGTAGAAGGGAAACAATAAAATAATACCAAGAGGCTGAGTGACCTTCAGCGGCGCGTGACAGCAGAGAAGCGTTGCGGAAAGCGCCTGGGCCGCCCTCCGATGTGGATATGAGGCCAACGCCACAAGGAGGACGAGCGGGACGAGATTCGTCCGGCAAACAGCCTCACGCGACCACGCGCGTGTGTGGCTCGTTTTACTGAGCAAGGTAAAAACTGCCGTCAATAATGATTTATGAACAGGTGATACCTCTATGGACACTCTGTATATACTCTGTGTATATATGAAGCCGATGTAAAACACATTTATCCTTGCTAACATGTCAATTGTTCGCACTTCAACAATCGGCGCTTTCCCTTTACAGCCGTGGAGTGTGCGTGCAGCACGCGTGAAATGCACAGTGAACAGAGAGTTGTGTACATTCATTGCAGTCCTGGACATACAACACATGCCACACAAGTGGAAACTGTGCAGTGTATAATGAAATGCTGACAAAACACACACGGATTTTGTAACATTCACAACAGTCAGTCACAACAGTCAGTCACAAGTCACAACAGTCACACCAGTCACAAGTCAGTCACACCAGTCACAAGTCAGTCACAACAGTCAGTCACAACAGTCACACCAGTCACACCAGTCACAACAGTCACAACAGTCACAACAGTCAGTCACAACAGTCGGTCACAAACAGTCACAACAGTCAGTCACACCAGTCGCAGCAGTCACAACAGTCAGTCACACCAGTCAGTCACAAGTCACAACAGTCAGTCACACCAGTCACAAAAGTCAGTCACAACAGTCAGTCACAACAGTTAGTCACAAATCACAACAGTCAGTCACAAGTCACAACAGTCAGTCACAACAGTCACACCAGTCACAACATTCAAACAAGCTGTGGGCAGCACTCACAACCATTTATGGTCCTGCGCCAGTGATAGGAATTCCACATTCCCATGTCGGTGCATCGTCACTCCAAAGGACAAGGAGCATTCACGTTCCCCAATTTGATTATAATTTTAATGACCCCAAGGACGACGGAATGAAAGTCACTTTCCACATTTGGATTTGAACTTCCAACTTTCCAACTGAGAGTCACATACAGAGTGTGACCTGGCCGGCTCTGTATATATATTACAAATAAATAAACGCGAATGGATATCACCCACCGCTCAGCCATGGCCGAGTGAGATTCCTGGCCGTGGCTAACATCCATGGCGAGTGATTTCAGAACCGGTCCCGTTCCCACCCCCCCACTTCCCCAGGCAGCGCTGACCAGTGGGGATTGCTGATGTACCGTGGCGTGTAAACCGACGCGGTGCATCGTGAGCACCGTCCCCTGCCTCCGCCTGCATGTCTTCACCATTTGGCATCTGTGCGTTAATGCCATGCAACGTTCCATGAACACCGCAAATCCTAACTTGTTTCGTAAAGGCTTAAAAATGACTGAAGGTACTTCGCGTTCATTATTTTAATTATATTTTGCCTGCTATCAACATAACCGGGATGTACAAATGTACATTTTTGCCACCGTTTTCGAGAATAGATGTGTGTGTAATTAAGCCAAAGTGCCTCCCTGTTTGTGGTGTAAATTGCAGAGTGGGCACAAGTGGGAACTCATTTGCTTGGCCCTGCAGAGATCCTGGGTGTAGTTGACCCCTGGCAGGGCCATGACCTCCAACCAACGGACCACGGCAGGGAGTGCCGTCGGCGCGTACCCATCGGCATGGCGCACGATGGGGTTGAGCAACCGGATTTAGGTGGAACGTGTCAGATCCCACACACCGCCGACGTAACACGTGGCCAGGAATTTAACTCAGGTAGACAGCATTGCTGCTCAATGTGATATCCGCCATGCTGCAAGCCTCTCCACAATGTGTGTAGACGCAGACATCTCAGGGCAAGAGGCCAACATAGCCATCACCAATGGTGCCACCCCACCTCACCATCGCTAGCTTCCCTCTGCTGCATTACACACAAAGGCAAAGATCCCCCATGTAGCCGACGTACACTGTCGGGATAAGTGCTGTTAGCGAGCACCTATGGAGCACAAGGCGGTGGTGTTGCCAGCATCTTGCCCGGCCACCTTTGTCTCCTCAGTGCTGTTTGCAGACCACATGAGGTACTCGTTTTTGGCCGAGTCAACCTACACTAGGCCCACGACCAACTCAGACATGTTTTGCTGACGGTAGCCGTGGCTGGGAATCTAATTCGGGTCACGTGAGTCATAGCACGGTTCTCGAACCACTAGACGTCCACTCTCCACACAACCCACACGCAGACACACGCATATATATATACACATTCAGTGTAGAGGACACTCGCAGTGTGTGTGTGCGTAACATCGGCTCTGTTCACCGTGCCGAGTGCGAGTCTGCTCCCCCCGGGAAGCTCCGCTCGTCGGGGTCCTCCCCCTGGTCTCTGTGCCGACCCGGGATCGTCACAGTCGTCACAGTCGTCACAGTCGTCGTCGTGGACGCTGGCGCCCCCTCGCCCCTCCGCACCCCCACCGCACGCGTCATGCCGTGCCCTGCTCCGTCTCCATGGTGACGATGCGCGTGCGGCGCAAGTTGTCGCGCACGCGGATGAACTCGGGGATGGTCGCTCCGCCGGAACCGCCGCCCGGCTGCTCCTCCCCCGGGCCGGGGAACTCGAGGTCACGGTCCAGCTGCGGCACGGCACGGCACGGCACCACGTGCAGCCGTGGGAAAAACGAGACGAAGCCCTCCGGTGGTCACGCGCGTCACCCGCACCACACTCCGCACCGCACCACGCTCCTCACCACGCTCCTCACCACGCTCCTCACCACGCTCCTCACCGCGCTCCGCACCACGCTCCGCACCGCGCTCCACGTCACCCGCACCACGCTCCGCACCACGCTCCTCACCACGCTCCTCACCACGCTCCTCACCGCGCTCCGCACCGCGCTCCACGTCGCCCGCACCACGCTCTGCACCACGCTCTGCACCACGCTCTGCACCACGCTCTGCACCACGCTCTGCACCACGCTCCGCACCACGCTCCGCACTCCACACCACGCTCCGCACTCCACACCACGCTCCACGTCGCCCGCACCACGCTCTTCACCACGCTCCTCACCACGCTCCGCACTCCGCACCACGCTCCTCACCACGCTCCGCACTCCGCACTCCGCACCACGCTCCACATCGTCCGCACCACGCTCTGCACCGCGCTCCGCACCACGCTCCACGTCGCCCGCCCTGCGTCGCCCGCCCGCGTTCACAGACGGCTCACGCGGTGGATTCCACATTCCTATGGCCAGTGCAATCCATCTTGCCGAGCGGTACTCGTTATCGACCGTGGAGGGATGGATGGCCGAGTCAATCCCACCCACCCCCTCGCCCCGACCGGGATTTGAACCGTTGAGTACGGGTTGCTCGAGGCGGGCAGCACAGACGTTGTTTGCGCGCTGCCCCAGCATCGAACCGGAGCACAAATGAGGCGGAGCCCCGCAAAGGGGCCGCGTCCAAGTGCACGCTCGCTCAGCGTCGATCGCAATTGAGCAAGAAGCAAATTACAGCCCGCTGCTGGACGAAGGACTCGGGGGCAAGTCGTGTTGGTCGTGGAGGACGTTTGGCCATATTCCACTCGACTGGTCGGTGCGGGTTGGTGGTGGATATCGCCTTGCCACCGACGTTAGCCGTCGGGAGGAATGGAACTCCGATCACTGCGTTAATGGCGCAGTACGTTAACCCCTGCTCCACCACTCCTCGCTCTATGTACGTCATTTTATTTTGCTAAATTCTTCACCGGGGTACAGCTACGATCTACAATATACAGATTCCGTAGCACGTCAATGATTTACAGGCATGGACCCGGCACGAGCGTTCGAGCGTGGCGGTGAGAGTGGGGAGAGCGGGAGCTGGGGGGAATGGGGAGAGTGGGAGGAGAGGGGAGACAGGAGAGAGCGGGGAGAGCGGGAGGAGCTGGGGGAGCTGGGGGAGCGGGAGGAGCTGGAAGAGCAGGGGGAGCTGGGGGAGCTGGGAGAGCTGGGGGAGCGGGGGATTTGGGGGGAGCGGGGAGAGTGGGGCACCTGCTCAAGGCGCTGGAAGCGCTTGAGCAGCTCCTGCTGCAGGGCGCCGTTGGGCTCCGGCTCCTCGTCATGGTGGAGGTGGTGCCGCTGGCGCCCCACGCGCTGCTCCCACTTGCGCTGGTCGAGCACACGCAGCAGCTCGGGCTTGGGCTGCAGACCCTGGCCCCTACACGGACACACACGGACACACGCACGGACACGCAGTCACACACAGAGACACACGGACATAGTCACGCGGACACACATGGAGACACGCACGGAGACACGCACGGAGACATGCACGGAGACACGCACGGAGACACGCACGGAGACACAGTCACACGGAGGTGCTCACCGCTTATTCTTCATGAGCAGCTCCCGGTGCAAGTCCTGGTGCCGACGAGACTCCTTCACGGGGTTAATCAGCTTCTTGGGCTTGATGAGGCCCGGGGTTTCGTCCCCGTAGTCGGGCTCGGACAGCATCGTGTCCACCTCCATCGGCTCCGTGTCGCCTCGCCCCTCCGCTTCCCCTTCCTGGTGCTCGCCGCTCCCCAGGGTCACTCCCGGCACGTCCGCCCAGCCCGGGGGCCGCTGGTCGGGAGGTTCGCGATCTCCGAGCTCCCCGCTCACTCGTCCGGCTTGGCACGAGTTCCCGCGAGCGTCGGGTTCTACGCAACCACGGTGCACAAAGACGGTCGCCGCTTTCAGGTGCTTCTCTGCGACCGTCTGGGACGCTGTATCTTCCAATATGAGGAAGTCACTGGAGCTATGCACTTTTAAATCACCATCTAGATTGAAAACTCATTTATTTAGAACTGCTTTTAGTGTTTCGCTTGTTTTCTTTCCCCCACACCTCTGAATAGCACGGTTGGCTACGTGCGGTGTGAAAGATGTTCAACCAACATATGCGAGAAGCTAGACACCCGAGTGAGATTTCACCGTCTCCACAAACGGGAGGCAGAAGCCACCCCTGGGCTGGGCTCATGCCCACACTCGCTCGGCACAGGCCTCGCCCGTTCCGTGTGGCTGTGCGATTCCAACCGACTTGCGGTGGGTCTCTAATTACACTGGGTGTGGGTGGTTTAAGACTGAAAACTTAACAGCTTTCAACTGCCTTGCAGACAAGTTCATAATTTTTAAAAGTCTTCTTTTCCAGTTTATTCTCAGTGGGCTATTGGCGTCAACATCACGAGATAGAGAACCCAACTGTAAACCTCTCACAGCAGTGGGTACCCCACGTGTCTTACAACGGCTGTGCAAGACATTTTTCACGCAACCTCTTCTGGAAAACCCTTCAAGTCGCCGTTTTATCTCTGAACAGTAGGGGGCACACTTCCACTCACACTCTGCTATGAGATTGGTGTGTTTTCTCATTATACTTAACAAATTATATTACATTTTTTAGAGATGCAATTGAGAATTTTTTTTTAGTGTAATGCCAATGATTTATCCAGAATTGTTTTGTAAAGTAATTGGTGATTGGGCTTAGACCAGCAGCTTACTGCACTGGAAACCGGATGTAATGATGGGCATCTGCCTGGATTCAAACTCAGTATTCCAATAGTACTGGCTCAGGGCTGTGACCTCGAAGCCATCCAGCCACCTCCAAGCTCGTGACTTTGACCTTGATGTCCAAATACAAAGTGATTCCCACTTTTCTGTAAGTAAAATGGTCCTATCTGACACTCGCTCCTGCATGTAAATGTGGAATTTCCATCACTGGCTCAGAGCAACCAACAGAGATGAGTGCCACCCTATTGCTCTGGGAGACACTCAGACTTAAGTAGTGTAACAAAAGGCAATGTGTTGAGTGTCGATGTTTGTACACGCAACGTTGAAGCCAGCTGTGTGCACAGGGTTTGATACTAAGCCACGGGTCACGCATTTATCCCGGCCGAAAGTGCAAGCGCGCGATTGTTTCACAACGGCTGCCAGTATAAATACATATTCTTATTCTGATAAAGAGAGAAACACATTCACGGGAAGTCCTCCGCTGTGTCGTCATGCCATAGGGAAGGCTTCTAAACCGTACCATCACACCACATCAGCCTACACACGCGTGCCACACAACACCACAACGTGCCATGAACTCGCTCTGTGTTGGATAAATGTAGACCCCGGGGACAGGACATCAAAGTGAAAATGTACATTCATGCATTTTCTTTCTTAGCCTATTATATTGCTTACGTTTTATTGTAATAACTGTGTAATCTATGGTAATTCCAAAGCATAATGATATACTTTACTGTCTGGATGTGCGTGAATATAATCGAGCACTTTGGAGGTGGGATCGGTAGGTTATCCACAGTTCACTGACTCACAAGATGTGGCCTCTAGAAGACAGTACACAATGTAGGCTACTGACCAACGGGGCACGAATCTTACACATAGCTGGGCATACCCACGACTATGGTATCTGCGGGTACCACCAGGCACTATGGTTTGCCTACCAACACTAAACGCGCACAAAAAGCGCACAAAAAGGGGATTGGCCAAATATCCTAATACAGGATCATCCTACTAAAAGGTGATACGGTTGTTGTTTTTTTCTGGATAAGTACTGCTACCAAGTGAAGTATATACACACACACACACACGTGTGACATGGCGAGATAACATCGACATCCTGCGTGAGCTTGTAGTCGAACCGCGCTGCTGGACACAAAGCGACATTGTTCGACGACGCCAGCGTGAAGTGGAAGTCGCTCCGGTTGTCTCGACGACCGCGGTATTCCGAGACAGTGAAAGAGATGTCTATCTTGTTGACGTGCACCAGAATAATGTCGCGGCGTTTCCACAGAGAGTCCCATCGTAGTCGTCGCTGGCAGCAAGCGAGCTTCCTTCCTTCCCCCACCCCAGACAAAAAACCGGTAAAGACCACGGTTACCGGTTTGCAGCACACGTGGCAGTGTTTCGCAATAACCATAACAACAAACACAACTCAATATGGCCTTCTAAGGAAACATCTGTACTGGGTGACGTTTCGGGCAATGCTCCTTCTTAATGGCAAAATAACCGTGAGAGCTCGCACGTTTTCCACCGAGGCACGAGGGCAGACGCCCACGCGGTGACCCAGCCCGGCGTGCCGCCGTTTGTCCGGCCCAATCGGTGCGCGCGCCACTCGTCACGCGCGTCCCTCCGGACACGGTCACTGCTTCCTGGCTCTCGGAACCGGTAAATCGTGGAGTTTGAAAACGGTTACCGGTTTGCCGTTTACCTTCTACCAAGCCTCGTATCATCACCCACGTGAGCAACTTCATGTTGAGAGAGAGTGGCTGCTGTACCACCGTGTCCACAGCTGCTGGTGCGAGCTACCGTGTGTGTGTATATTACTGTATTCTTTGGGTCTTTCGGTAAAGTCACGTAAATAGTCACGTAGAAGGGGAACAATAAAATAATAAAAATATAAAACAATAAAATTCTCACGACGTTTCGACTGCAACACAAGCAATCGTCATCAGGTGTTCTTGCTGTGTTTTTTTATTGTTTATTTTTATTTTATTGTTTCCCTTCTACGTGACTTTACCAAAAGAACCAAGAATATGAATCCCTGCAGTCACGAAAGCTTTAAATAAAAATTTCACGTAGATAGGTTCAAAATAATAAAATAAACCAAAAACTTTGACGTTTCGATCGCAACACAAGCGATCGTCATCAGGAGGAAAAAGGGGGAAAGCTACTGAAGGCAAGCTGCTTTTAAAGGTTGAAAATGGGTATAGCCCAAGTGTCAGAACGAAGTGGGTGGGGCTAGTGAGCGGAGGTGGTTATGTGAATGTGAGAAATTAACATGTTAATGTAAAATCGGAGAACAGCCGCCACGGCTGAAGTGTTGGTTAAAGATCTTCTGAGTCCTGGAGGACTTAACAACTTTTTGGTACGCCCAATGCAGGGGGCGATACCGCAAGAAATGGAATTGCTTGTCCCATCTTTAGTAAAAATAAAACTAACATCGGAAGGTGACAAGATGGGAACATCACAGCCAGTTATGACTTAAACTGGTTGATGACGTGCTTCCAATGATTGCTGAGTTTGTACCCATCCTCTGGGTTGAAATTGTGTTTGTGTCTGTATATATGGATGGCTTTATGAACGAATGTTTGTTGATAGCGTGGGCTTACAAAGTACCTTCGTCTTAGAGAAATCAATTTCGTGTGAGCCAGCAGCATTAAAACAATGATCAGCCACGGCCGAAGTGTTCGTCCTCCCGTGTTTCAAATCTGCCTTACGCCGACGAACACGGTCCGAGACGTGTCGCTTAGTTTCCCCAATGTAGCTACTGCCACAGACACAGCTTAGTTTGTAGACGCCAGGGTATTGCATGTCAAGGATCACATCCTTCATAGATGGGATCAGATCACGAATTTTATGTACTGTTTCAAATCGAGCCTGGATCTTGTTTGTTCATGATTTTGGACATTCTCAGCGTGCCGCGCAAACCACACTAAGAACTCCAGTGGCAATCACCGTCGGTCTTGCAGTGCAGCACTTTCTATTCCCCCCACCGGTGAACATGAAACCGGCACCGCAGCTTAAATGAAGGCAATGTCCCTGAGGCTGATGTCGAGGAGGAAGTGACGATAAGATAATTATGACAATTCGTTAATTCGCTTAAAGTACAAGTGGCTGGTAAAGGCAGACACTAACACGTCCATGAGCGTGGGCTGATGCTGAATTGGAACGATACCGACTCATCCGGTAGCTCGTGTTGTTGCAGTGTTCGACAAACACACGGCACCCATAAACTATATCGCCTGCTGCTGCTTTGGTGCAGTGGTTAGCGCACGGCGGCTACGAACCCGGCGACCCCAGTTCGATTCCTACTCACACCGAATATCGGTGACGAGTAGTGTCGGCTTGTTCCGGATTACCCCAAGTGGATTCGGCCTAAAACAAGTGCCTGGTGTGGTGTGTAAGCGTCATCGCTGGGGAGACAAAGGCGGCCAGGCGTGGTGCTGGCCACCCACCCCCTCGTGTGCCACAGTGCCGGCCTTCATAGGTGCTCGCTTGCAGAACTTGCCCCAAAAGTGCATGCAGGCTACGAACATGTGTATGTGTGAGGTGTGAGCAGTGTGAGATGTGAGTGGTGCGAGTGGTGAGTGGTGCGAGTGTGTGGTATAAGTAGGTGGTGTATGTGGTGTACAGCGAGGGGAAAAAAGTATTTGATCCCCTGCTGATTTTGTACGTTTGCCCACTGACAAAGAAATGATCAGTCTATAATTTTAATGGTAGGTTTATTTGAACAGTGAGAGACAGAATAACAACAAAAAAATCCAGAAAACGCATGTCAAAAATGTTATAAATTGATTTGCATTTTAATGAGGGAAATAAGTATTTGACCCCTCTGCAAAACATGACTTAGTACTTGGTGGCAAAACCCTTGTTGGCAATCACAGAGGTCAGACGTTTCTTGTAGTTGGCCACCAGGTTTGCACACATCTCAGGAGGGATTTTGTCCCACTCCTCTTTGCAGATCTTCTCCAAGTCATTAAGGTTTCGAGGCTGACGTTTGGCAACTCGAACCTTCAGCTCCCTCCACAGATTTTCTATGGGATTAAGGTCTGGAGACTGGCTAGGCCACTCCAGGACCTTAATGTGCTTCTTCTTGAGCCACTCCTTTGTTGCCTTGGCCTGTGTTTTGGGTCATTGTCATGCTGGAATACCCATCCAT